TAATAATAATAATAATAATATCATTGTTATTATTCCGCAAGATGGCGTTTTTCTCTCCTAAAGAAGGGTGTTGTACATTCTCATCGACACAATTTCCAGGATGGGAACCAACGTAGCATACACATCGACGTTTACCTTGACGGTTTACCTTGCGTGTGTTCATGCAAAACAATGTGGAGGCATGACGTATTTAACATGGTCAGCTTCTACTGCCACGGTTTTCATTTCTTTCTGGTCTGTTTGTTTCTTTGTTTAAGTAAACAGAAGCACACCGACACAGTAATGGTCATTTAATTTAGTGCTGAAGGGGGGAAACGGATACCAGACACACAGAAACAATAGAGGGAAAATAAAGATGTTGGGCCTCCCGCCAGTGGCGCTCACCAACCACCCGCTCTGTGGTCTGTGAACAACAATTATTGTCTACACAAACACATTACGGGACACGCGTGTTTGGGACAAGGTCCGCATTTTTGCGCTGCCAAACAGCTGGCACGTTTACAAACAATTCCTGTCTTCGGGGCTGCGGGGAAATGGGGTGAACATACTCATCCCACATCTCCCTCATTTTTCCTCCTCCTCCTCTTCTCCCTGTATCACCCCCCCCCCCCCCCCCGCCCCACCAGCCAGGATAGTCCCTGACAGGCAAGGTCGAAGTAGATTTCTACTGAATAATCCTCGATTGAGTTGATGGGATGTACGTAAAACATGTAGTCTAAAACAGGCGTGGGCAAGCGTGTTCACAATTCTGATTATCTCGAGAGCCAAAACAGAAAATTTGGTGAAATTGGTTGAAATACCAAAGCTCTCAAAAGTTAGACTACAGCTGACATATCAGTATATCAAGTCACTCAACAAGCATATTCCTTGAGATTTAAAAAAAAAAAGATCTATTGCTTCCTCCTGGATCGGAAAACCATTGATTTTTCATTTTCATGACGTACAGTCTTGTTTTTATTAATCATCAATTCCTCGCGGGCCAAATTCATTATTAATTAATTACGGAGTCGGCTCGCGGGCAGGACTGAAATCGCTCGGGGGCTAGATCTGGCCCGCGGGCTGTAGTTTGACGATGCCTGATCTAAGGGGTCTATTACATGTTCAGTATGGTTCAGTTAAAACAGACATTTGTCCGTCCTCTTTGTGACTTATCGTAAATATGACATCAAATTCGGAACCAGGGTATCAAAATTAACAAAAGAACTCTCGAGTAACTCTTTTTCTTGCTCAATTTAGACGATAACGAAAAGAAGTATATTTTCTCCCAAGATTTCATAATGTAGTATTTGCTTATCATAAAGAGGACGGACAAGCGTCGTTTTTAACAGATTATAATGCACTAGGCCAGGCCCTTTCAACATGAGTGTGCGTGGTACTTACCACCTCGTGGTGCCCGTGCTGACAGGCCAGGTGTAGCGGCGTCTCCCCGTCCAGGGCCTGCTCGTTGACCGGAGACCCCTTCTGTAGCAGCAGCTGGACCGACTGGGACACGCCTTGCCATGTGGCGTAATGGAGGGCGATCATGCCTGGAACAATCACAAAATCGTTGGAAGTAAGTGGAGATGTTTTGGTTAGTGTTGTTGTTTTTGTTGTTGTTGGGTATTTTCGGGGGGGGGGGTGTAGGGTGGGGGTGGTAAGTTTTACGGCACTTGCAAAACGATTAGGCCATTTGGGTACCAAAGATCTGAGGTGTTAAAAGTGTTTGATTGTTTAAGTAAAGAGAAGCATAGCGACACAATAATGGTCATTTAGTACTGGGAAAAAGTAAGACAGACAGACACATTGGAGGGAAAGTAAAGAAGTACGACTTGCTAGTGGCACTTTCAAACCACCCGCTGACAAACACATAAAAATTGTAAATGAGTGTTTGTTCTAGTACATGTTTTAACGGCACTTGCAACACAATTGGTTCATATATGTACCGAAGTTTAAAGATGTTATATCAGAGTAACAAACACAAAACAGGAGGAGGAGGGAACAATAAATGTTTTTAGTTTTAGAGAGACCTGTAACACCTCTAATCTTCGGCACTTATATGACCTTATTGTGTTGCAAGTGCCAAAGATTAGAGGTGTTACAAGATAATATCAAACACAAAAAAGAGGAGAGATCCGGATGATAGATGTTTGAAAGGAAAAACGGAGCAAACCACAACAGAGCACCCGCCAACCACCCACTTTTTATTCTTTCCAGTCTCATTGAGTAAAAAGAATATTGAAAATAGTATATGTTTTGTTGTTTTCTAGTTTTGGTAGAGGTTTTACGGCGCTCCCAACTACATAAGGTCATATGAGCGCCAAGGGATGGATGTCAACAGAGAAGTCCTTACATGGAATCAGACTTACTCTGCTCACCTCTCTAGCTTCAACAGCACAAAATCTGCTTCGACTATCAAGGCACCGCGGAAATAGCGGGGTCACAAGAGTGTGACAAACATACAAAAGAAGTAGAGGGAAAATGACGATAGTAAGGATTAGGAAAGAAAAAGCAGCAGTTCCCTGTTGCAGTTCATGCACAGCCATGAGCATGACTTTGATGAATCAGTCCATTTACAATTACAATTCTACTGTGCCTAGGAACAGGTTAATGTCCCCCCTTTGGGAATGGCCTAAAGATACTTCAGTCAGTAGCACCGCCCCGGGGGATAATAGTAAAGTATGTTTAACCCCCCTATCAAGATTATTAGGTTACTTAAGAGGTGGGACCCCTGAGTTTAATGTCCATCTCCGAAATCATCACCATCAATGCCTTTCACCCCTGGCAGGGTATAGGCCACATACAAGCTCCTTCCATTCGTCTTTCCAAGCTCGTTCCAAGTGAGCTTCATTTCTCTCATGTTCCTTTCCACGCATCTCCTCCATGTTTCCCGTGGCCTACCCCTGCCTCGTGCTCCTTGTGGGTTCCACTGCAGTGACTGTCTTGTGATGTTTCCGCTGGGCCTTCTTAAGGTGTGTCCCATCCATCGCCACTTTCTTAGTCCTATTTCTACTTCTATATCCTTTTGTCCTGTCCTTTCCCACAGCTCTTCATTTCTTATTCTATCCTGCCACTTAATTTTTAGAATACTCCTCATACATCTGTTGATGAAAGTCTGGACTTTATTCAGTACTGTCTTCGTTGTCTTCCAAGTTTCGCAGCCGTAGAGGAGCACAGACTTGACGCTGGAGTTAAAAAGTCGAATCTTGGTGAGCAGTGAGATGTTGCTTGCTTTCCAGACTTTTGATAAGTGCTTGAAGGCTGACCTTGCCTTGGCAGTTCTTGCTTTAACATCTGCCTCGGTTCCACCTTTACCATCGATGACACTTCCAAGGTAGGTAAAAGAGTCCACTTCTTCCAGGGGAGTGTCTCCACTGTCACAGCAAGGTTTGAAACTTTTCCTAGCTTCACTACTTTTGACTCGCCTGGATGTATACGTAGGCATCTGAGCATGTGTGTGAGAGAGCAGTGCAAGGTCATCGGCGAAGTCCAAGTCGTCCAGCTGCTGCCAAGGGGTCCATTGTATTCCATTACGTTTGCCTCTGGTGGCTTCTTTCGTGACCCAGTCAATTGCCAGTATGAAGAGAAAAGGTGAGAGCAGCATCCTTGTCGCACTTCTGTCTGTACCCGGAATGGTTCTGAGTGTTGTCCTTCGTGGAAGACTTGGCAGCTTGTTCCATCGTAGGTGGCCTTCACAAGCTTGACGATTTTCTCAGGTATTCCAAAATGTCGCATGAGTTTCCACAGAGTTTCCCTGTCCACGCTGTCAAACGCCTTTTCATAGTCAATGAAGTTGACCACGAGTGGTGAATTCCATTCAAGAGATTGCTCAACAATGATACGTAGAGTAGTGATTTGGTCCACATATGATCGGTTTTTGCGGAATCCTGCCTGGTTTCCTCGAAGCTTCTCATCTGTTGCCAGCTTGATTCTCTCCAGGAGTATCCTGTTGAAGACTTTCCCAGGTATGGAAAGGAGTGTAATGCCTCTGTAGTTGTTACAGTTGCTGAGGTCTCCTTTCTT